GGTAAATTGTAAACAGAAAGCACCACAGGCCATGTGCTATGGTCATGCCTCATTTTCGCAAAATGATTAAATCCATCATTGGCCAACCCTAATATAACATTTCGAATTTCTGACGCAAAATCCGGATATAAATTATCCAAATGCTTCAATGCTGGAGAATATGAAGAATGCCTCATAAACTCATCCTTAGGACATTTCAATTGCGTGCCACCTCATATGTTCAGCCGTATGCTTCGACATAAAAAATCGTTGCAATTGTGGTTTTAAAGGAAAATACCACATAACCTTAGCTACGATCTTTTTTCTCAAGCTATCCTCTGCTTTGGTAATTTTATATCTTGATTCACCACAAACCGAGCACACAGTCAACTTCGAAGTATCTTTCCAATAGATCATGCAATCATTGGGACATGCATCAATTTTCACATACGTCAGACCCAAGTCATTTATAAGTTTTTTTGCCTTATAACAGGATTCAGGAAAACAATCCCCTTTAGGCGACATTCTTTTAATTAACTCCAGTAAAGTGGTGAAGATCTCGTCTGGCATTCCCGCTAAACATTTGATCTAATACAGTCTTACAACTGCTTCTAATTCCTTAAACTTTTTACATCCTGGCCACAAATCTTGATCTGCCTTTTCAAGCAACCTAAAAAAAGTCTTCACCTCTTCTGAATGCCCATCCCCAATAGGGGGTTCAGTAGACAGCCCAACACTTCTTCTGTTAATGGTTGGACAAATACATCATTAAGAAAATCATGCATACTAGCCACCTCATCTCCTGTTTCTTCTTCTCTGATTGCCATATTTTGCTTTCCAATGTTTTTCTCACCATGATGTCGCCACCAATATTTTGCTTTCCAATGTTTTTCTCACCATGATGTCGCCACCAAGCGTTTTTATAATCTTTATCCATATCATACAATATGAGATGTTCAACAACAGTGTTCTTAACAAAAGTATATCGATTACAACATCTTTGGCAATGACATCTAAACTTATCAGGGCCAACACCATTTGCAACTGCTTGGTCCAAAAACAAATTAATTCCAGCTGTATAAGCTTCCAAATTTCGAGCTATCGTCAACCAACTCCTGTCCATGTTTTACCACTTTACGAGGACAAAATATTACGTTGACACTAAGATGCCTACAATCTTTCAATCCCTATCATGTAGGCATAACTATTAGAATTTTCAATTTCTATCTTTCAACCCTCGAACTATATCACAATTGCAATCTTTTAATTTTCAACACCTATTATAGTAAAAAAAAATTAAAATAACAACAAAAAGTTATCAAAATAACAACAAAAACAAATTAAAATAACAATTAGAGTGCAAAACAAATTAATTTAACATAATATATTCTTATATTACTAAATATTATAAGTTTATGTTATATTTAATATGTCAATTTCACATAAATGCTTATAACTATTATTCATTTCCATTTTCTCATAACAATTCAAGTGACAAAATTAATTAATTTGACTAAATATTTATTAATTTAACAAAAATAGTAGAAATTTATCTAACTACTTAAATTAGAACTTTTAAATAAATAAACTTGTGTATTATACAATTTAAAAATTAAAGAATTTAGTGATAGAAACCTGAATTATGGAAGAATTCCGTCGTCGATCAAATCTTTATGTACTCAACCAGCTCAAATAAATTCCCTACAAAAATAAATTGTACATAAAAATTAAACATAAGTGGAGAAAATAAAAATATTAGAAGCAAGAAACACTTACTGTTGTGAAGACGGAACAAATGAAGTAAGAAGAACAAATAAGAAAGGTGCAAGAGAGAAAACACGGGGAGGGTTTGAAATTGGAAGAACGAATAAGAAAAATGCAAGAGAGGAAGAAGAAAACACGGGGGAGAGTATATAAAGATCATCATTATGTTTCTTACAACCGACACCAGGTTTTAGAATATTTAAAAAAAACTAAAATCTATGTCGCTCAGAACCGACGCACGCTTTAAGATATTTAAAAAAAATAAGGACAAGTTTGTGTGGCGTCGAAATAAGGACAAGTTTGCATCGGTTAAAACCGACGTGTCCCTGACATACTTGACAGTCGTAGCAGGTGGCCTCGAAATAGGACAAGTTTGCGTCGGTTCAAACCGACGTGAGCCTGACATGTCAGTGCACTTGGATGTGGCGTCAAAACAAGAAAACTTTTGCGTCGGTTAAAACCGACGCCAACACTGACTGAAAAAAGCTCTTCCAGTCGTTTGCCCCTACACTCATACTTTATGTCGCTTAAAAGCGACACCAGTATTTAAAATATTACAATGTATGTGTACGTCGGTTTAAAGCGACACCAGTATTTTATGACGCTTATAAGTGACAGTAAATCCGACGTCATGTTTAGTTAGTGTCGCAACTATATTAGATTAAACCGACACCACCCACTGACACTATAAGGCCCTTTTGTAGTAGTATAGGTTGGAATTGTAAAGGGGTAAATTATGTATGAGTATGTTGTTCGTGCCACATTTTACCCATTTGATGGTGTGCTCAAGAAATGCCATCCATAAGTAGAGGAAGAAATATCTTGCATGGAAATCTAGTTTTAACAAATGCCATATACTATTTTTGGTATTATAGATAAAAGAGATTTTCTGGGTTTGTTGGATGGGTTGCTCAACAGAATCTAACTTCTTTTGCTTACAGGCAAGACTCCGACATTCTGAAACTGTGGCTCAATCTGATGTGGATGAGGCATTAAGGCTGATGCATATGTCGAAGTTCTCTTTGTACTCAGATGATCGCCAGAATCTGGCGGGGGGATCCTGTCGGTGATATCTATTCAATGCTGCGAGATGAGTCTGAGACAACTAGCAAGCTGGATGTGAGCTATGCACATGCACTAACTTTGATTTCTAGGAAGGTTAGTGTTTGCAACTCAACTTTGCCAAGCATCTTGTGGTCGATGTTCAGATAAATGACAGAATGCCAACCTATAGAAGCAGTGGCGGATCCAGGAAAAAATGTTTATGGGGTCATAGCGCGCGCAGCGCGAAATTTTTTTTTAGCCTCGTTTGGTACTTCGGACTGTATTGACTATTTCAGTCGGATAAGATAAATAGTCGTCGGATAGTACTAACTCCATTAGTCGGGCGTTTGTTGCAATGTCGAATTAATCTGTGCATGGAACAATAATAAAGTATAGGGACTGACCCAAGATTCTGGCATAAATCACATCATAATTCGTTTATGTGGATTCATGCAAGTAAGTTTCACTTAAACTTGCTCTTTTATTGTCTTGTTACTGGTGTATCCAAATTTTTGTTTTCCCTGACAGCTTGATGTTTCAAATTAATTTCCGTATCTTCTTAATGTTCTTGTTCTCATATAGCACTCCTCCAACCCCTATCATTTCTTTATCAGAAAGACCAATTAAACTGGATAGAGTTATAAAAAGTAGCATGTATAAATATCATTCACTTGACAAAAACAGGCATGCAACCAAGCACACAACCAAGCTCATTTGAGTGGGCTGCTTCTTCTTCCTCTTCCTGCCCAGTTTTCGTTCAGGGCTTTTGTCGAACAGTTGGCGTGCCTCCGACCCCGACGACCCCAGCTCCAAGAGGTCGCATATGGGAGCTTCAAGGTTGTTTCCATGGTTTCCAAGGGGTCGTGCGACCCCGACGACCCCACTGTGGATCCGCCACTGTATAGAAGTGGATCTAATGCCGAAATAACTGCACTGCTTATCATATAAGAACATAATCATATAAATTAGAGTAGTAGAAATTCAAAATATATCTCAAAAATGGAATGTTTGCTTTGAACAGGGATACAGTGAATCCCAACTTGCAAATGTAATAATATCTTCAACCGGTAAATTTCATAATTTGAACTGTTTAATCTCGCAACATTTATTTGAAGATCATCCATGCAAAAAATTTATTCGAATGAGGAATCATGTAGTCATCCAAATATATGAATAAATCAACGATGTAGGTACCAAATATCATATTCATGATAAACTGTTAATTTGTTTTGATACATTTAGATGACTTACGGTTTACTTTGCCTCGGATGTAATTAAGGTTTACTTTGCCGTTGTTGCATCTGTAATTAAGCTTTAATGATTTATTAGATAATCCAAAAGACACATGATTTACAGGCGCTTGTTGCTCCAAACCAAATTGTTGTGAGATAGATGCACATGTAACTTAGCTGTTTTAAAGGAAATAATTTCACAAAAAGTTAAACAAGAAAGAAAAAGGAAGTTCCTGAAGTTAGAACTTTGTAGAACTTGGTAAAACTTTGCCTTAAAAGCTTGCAACAATTTGTCAGGCTTAGACCTGTAAATGGGTCGGGTTTATTAGGTTTGGGTTGAGTTCAATCCGACCCGTTAAGTTAACGGGTCACCTGAACCCGACCCGTTAAGTTAACAGATCATCCGTTTCACCCGTTAACAATTATTATTATTATTTTTTTTTCATAGAGTTTATTTTTTGTTGTTAAGACTTTACTAAAATTACTAAAACATCATCAACTAACGGATGCTAACGTGTTGACCCAAAGTGACCCGTTATTTAACGGGTTCACCTGTTAACGACCTGACATGTTAAGCATTCACCTAAATATTAATATTAACGAGTCGGGTCGGGTTAACGGATCGGGTCCAAAATGCCAGGTCTAGTTAGGCTCCAAACTTTGAATAGGAGTGGATTCCAGCTGCAAATTCAGTTGGCTCAATTGTTCATCATACACCCCTCTTTTCCTTCTCAACGCCATTATCCATTAGTGAGCCAAATGTCTGTACGACCACCCAAAAATGGCTCATAAATAAACAACCAAGGCCAAATGCCTGTTTTCCTTAAAGCAAAAAGTTGAGATTTTTACCAAAGTTGATTTTGCGCAGGTAATGCATTCTTCTCCTAATGCTCATTGTTTCATAAATATATATGATAATACTCAAGAAATGAAATAAGACTTGAAGAATAAATGATATTTTCAAGTTAAATTATAGGAGACTTAAAAATGAGGAATAGCTGATATCAGATCATATGAGTAAAATTCATAGATAGCACCCAACATAACCTTAATCCAAAGCAAATTGGTCCTATAGGAAATCCTTTTTGCATGTGGATTTACTACTTTTATAAACAAAGCTAACTACACGCACTAGTCGGCACCAAGGTCCAAAATCACACATTTATTCTTCATCTTTATTCAATCCTGAGCCGAACTAGCGCAAGTCGAATCATTCTTGGACGAACCATTCTCAACATCCACCTCAATGCCACACTGTGTCCATAGGCTACCTCGGAAAAGCTTAAACCCCGGGTCATCAGGCCCGCCAAAAAGGCTTAGCTGCCATTAAAAGAGAGAGATAGATGCAACACTTGTCAATATTTATGTAGAAACAGATGATCTAGCATCTGTTTTCCATTCCAAAGATTGACAAGACCAACACAAGAAGCAGAACAGGATAGCACATAGACTTTTTTTTTTTTTTTTCAATCGAGCAACTGAAAGTACCTCAACAACCGCCCGAAGCAACCACTGGCATTGGTCATCAGAAATGCCACGACCAATTGCACTTGGACGAAAATTTGAATGATAAAAGACCGTAGAACCTCCGTTTGGATATCTCACCGCAACCTCGTCACAGGCACTAGGACCTAACTCATAGAAATATTACATGTTATTAGCTAGTTACAATAATTACGTGTTAGATAGCGAGAAAATTATTATTATTCTAGGCATTGAAGCCCCAACAAGCACAAGCAGCGTACAAAACTAAATTACAAGGGCGCCGTTTATACTTACTCCTTTTGCCAGATAAAGCAGAGTAAGTGGATTGGGGTACTGCAAATTAAGAAGAAAAAGCATAAATGACTATAAAAAAAAAAGATTGAAAGGCTGTTTCATTCTAATCAAACAAATCATCTCACAGATTGACATATTATTTAAACAATCGAAATACCAGCGTAATTACTCACCAGTGGAAATGGAACTCGAACATGAACCCCTACGTGGACCCCAACGTGAACGGGAAGTATAATAACGAGCCATAATTTTGGTTCGAGAATTCGACAAGCCGTCCCAACTAAAAGTTTACAAATTAAAGTTTAGTTCCTGCGAGATAAGACAAAGGCTTACATACTGAAACAAAACGAGAATAAAAATGGAAACAGAAAACTGTTCCAAACGATTCAATCCCGCGACAAAGACATGACATAATTAGATGCTAACCCTTAAATCTCAAAACTGATCGCAAGGACCGGCAATTACAATAGATATCAAACTCGCATCGCATGCTAACAATTTTAGTTAAAAACAATTTGGGGTACTCGGCGTGATCATCAAACTACTGGTGTAGGATTCCAGATATATCCCAAAACGTGTATGACAACAAAACCATAGCCCTCGGCTCAATTGGATTACTATGGAGTCCAAACCGATGAACGAAAGCTAACTTTAAGCGAGCATAAGACACAACAAGCTGCATAATCCAAAGTGAATACAAAAGATCGATCTTACTGAGGCTGAATTTAAATTGTCCACGCCCAATAATAAATCTTGTTATCCCATAAAGTATGAAACATACGAACGGTAAAAAATAAAAATAAAAACAACCCCAAATTAGGGTTCTGGGAATATATTTTTAAAATCCCCTGCCTCTGTGTATTTGTGAATTACATGTTAAATTCCCTAACCAACGGGTAAGCATTGAGATATTGAGATCCAAAGCAAACAGAAAGAAAAAATTTAGAAAAAAAAATCATAAAAATTAAAACAAACAAAGTAAGAGGTTGAATTTTGAATTTTCATACCCGCAGAGAAAGAATGTGCAAGGCTTCAGCTTTTGGAGTTTTCCGCGGACATTGAACACAAACCCTAAAGTGAAAGGGGAAAAGGTGTGGCCTCGGATTTTAAAGATAGTAGACTTTGTTTCATGGGCCAAGCGGGCCGGGCCGGTATCCATATCCATAAAATATTATAATTTTTTCATTTTAAATTCTAACAGTTACGAGGAGATAATTAGGCCATATCGCATATCACAAATAATCGTTTTTTGTAACAAGGATATTATCTACATTAAGGCATGTGTGAGTGGGTTAAGTCTCCCACTCGGTTAATCATAATAGGCTAAACTGTTAATTTGCCTCATGAACTATCACTTGGCTTTCGATAGAAGCATGTGCACAACATGTGAGAATAGTTCGGTCGCTTCATTCTTTAAAATAATTGAAAACTTTAGATTTTTAAAATATAAACATATGCAAATATGTGTGATTCTATAGCTTTTGTGTCTGAAGGTCTAGCGAAGTAACGTTTTTTGTCCACAAAAGAGAGTCACGTGGTATACACGTGATAAGAGTTAACGTTATTTTGGATGAAATCTATGAAAAATTAACGGTAGGGGGGGAATAGGCAAAAAAAAATAAGTTCAAGTCCTTAATTTTCCAATTAAAAAGTTAAGGGAGGAAATCGAAAGTCAAGTGATAGTTTAGGGGGCAAATTGGCAATTTAGCCTTAAAAGTTTCATCCTTTTAAAATTTATTATGGATAAGTGAACACATTGGTTCAAGCTCTCCTTTAGTGAGTACAAGTGAATGATTTAGTACAAATGACATTAGGAAATATTGTGAGAGAATGATCTCTATTTATAGAAGAGAGTTTCTAGTTTCATTCTGACATCGACACGTGTCGTGTTGTGATTGGCTTCTGATGTTGACACGTGTCGCGCTATGATTGGCTTCTGATATCGACACGTGTCGCGCTGTGATTGGCCTCCTGGTTGGAGGGAAACTCTTCTGGGTCTTTGATGGTATAACGTTGACCGATGCTCAGTAGTTTCGGGATTGGTCAAGTATGGTACAAACAGAATGAAATTTCGGTTTACATGTGTGAAAATTCACTTAATTGTGTGGTCGGTAACGGATCATATGCATTTTAATCTTGTTTTGTCTAGTTGGTACCTCATGCCAAAAGTTACACTGCATAATCAATCACTGGACATGTATGGTAACACTTGTACACTTCATGTTTCGTTTTAAACTTCCTGCTTACTGGTTCGTTATTCATGAATTAGTAAATGAATGTCGATAGATATTAGCTAGCTTGGTTTGTAGTATGTGTTTTGAAAATATAGTGACATTTCATACAATGTAAGTTCAACAGAGGTTTATCTCAGATTAATATTGGAAACTTGCTTTTACCTCTATTCCATGTCATCGGTTGTAGTTTATTTACGAGTTTCATATGCTTCTACTTCCATTGTAGCAAAGCTTTCTATGCAGGTTTGTGTTCATTCTTAATTCACTAGTTTTTTTATTTTTCATATGTATTCCAGTGAGATTTACATAAGAGCACCTTTACATTTTATTGCCAGGTCTAGTCAGGCTCCAAACTTTGAATAGGAGTGGATTCCAGCTGCAAATTCAGTTGGCTCAATTGCTCATCATACACCCCTCTTTTCCTTCTCAACGCCATTATCCATTAGTGAGCCAAATGTGTGTACGACCACCCAAAAATGGCTCATAAATAAACAACCAAGGCCAAATGCCTGTTTTCCTTAAAGCAAAAAGTTGAGATTTTTACCAAAGTTGATTTTGCGCAGGTAATGCATTCTTCTCCTAATGCTCATTGTTTCATAAATATATATGATAATACTCAAGAAATGAAATACGACTTGAAGAATAAATGATATTTTCAAGTTAAATTATAGGAGACTTAAAAATGAGGAATAGCTTATATCAGATCATATGAGTAAACTTCATAGATAGCTCCCAACATAACCTTAATCCAAAGCAAATTGGTCCTTTTTGCATGTGGATTTACTACTTTTATAAACAAAGCTAACTACACGCACTAGTCGGCACCAAGGTCCAAAATCACACATTTATTCTTCATCTTTATTCAATCCTGAGCCGAACTAGCGCAAGTCGAATCATTCTTGGACGAACCATTCTCAACATCCACCTCAATGCCACACTCTTTCCATAGGCAACCTCGGAAAAGGTTAAACTCCGGGTCATCAGGCCCGCCAAAAAGGCTTAGCTGCCATTAAAAGAGAGAGATAGATGCAACACTTGTCAATATTTATGTAGAAACAGATGATCTAGCATCTGTTTTCCATTCCAAAGATTGACAAGACCAACACAAGAAGCAGAACAAGATAGCACATAGACTTTTTTTTTTTTCTTTCAATCGAGCAACTAAAAGTACCTCAACAACCGCCCGAAGCAACCACTGGCATTGGTCATCAGAAATGCCACGACCAATTGCACTTGGACGAAAATTTGAATGATAAAAGACCGTAGAACCTCCGTTTGGATATCTCACCGCAACCTCGTCACAGGCACTAGGACCTAACTCATAGAAATATTACATGTTATTAGCTAGTTACAATAATTACGTGTTAGATAGCGAGAAAATTATTATTATTCTAGGCATTGAAGCCCCAACAAGCACAAGCAGCGTACAAAACTAAATTACAAGGGCGCCGTTTATACTTACTCCTTTTGCCAGATAAAGCAGAGTAAGTGGATTGGGGTACTGCAAATTAAGAAGAAAAAGCATAAATGACTATAAAAAAAAAGATTGAAAGGCTGTTTCATTCTAATCAAACAAATCATCTCACAGATTGACATATTATTTAAACAATCGAAATCCCAGCGTAATTACTCACCAGTGGAAATGGAACTCGAACATGAACCCCGACGTGGACCCCAACGTGAACGGGAAGTATAATAACCAAAACGAGCCATAATTCTGGTTCGAGAATTCCACAAGTCGTCCCAACTAAAAGTTTACAAATTAAAGTTTAGTTCCTACGAGATAAGACAAAGGCTTACATACTGAAACAAAACGAGAATATAAATGGAAACAGAAAACTGTTCCAAACGATTCAATCCCGCCACAAAGACATGACAGAATTAGATGGTCAAAACTGATCGCAAGGACCGACCATTACAATAGATATCAAACTCGTATCGCATGCTAACAATTTTAGTTAAAAACAATTTGGGGTACTCGGCGTGATCATCAAACTACTGGTGTAGGATTCCAGATATATCCCAAAACGTGTATGACAAGAAAATCATAGCCCTCGACTCAGTTGGATTACTATTGAGTCCAAACTGATGAACGAAAGATAACTTTAAGCGAGCATAAGACACAACAAGTTGCATAATCCAAAGTAAATACAAAAGATCGATCTCACTGAGGCTGAAATTAAATACCCGCAGAGAGAGAATGAGCGAGGCTTCAGCTTTGGAGTTTTCCGCGGAGTTTGAACACAAACCCTAAAGTGAAAGGGGAAAAGGTGTGGCCTCGGATTTTAAAGATAGTAGACTTTGTTTCATGGGCCCGCTAAATTTTTCAGTTTAAATTCTAACTACGAAATTTACGGGGGAATAATTAGGCCATATAGCATAGCACTCCTTTTTTTGTAACAATATGTGTGAGTGGGTTAATTATAGTTTAAATGTAGGACATGTAACTTCCTCTTGAACAAAAAGTAATCAAACGGACGAATTTTGAAGTGATTCTAATTAAAGGGTGTTTGCAAGTCTTTCAACTTGTTCGTGTGAAAGTTTTTATGCCAAGCGGTTAATTTATGTAGAATAAATAAAGGATAGCACGCAAAACTACCAAAGTAATGTTTCGGGCTTATTTGACATTCTTGGCGTTCAAGATGGCATTTTATGGAGATACGTCCTTATGAAAATATATTTAGGTGACTCAAGCTTTAAAACAAGATCTTTTGGGCCATTTTTGGATCTGGTTTGGCCCATGAACGTGGTAGATTTGTGGTTGGGCAGATTCTCTAGCTTTTGGTAGGGGATTTTTAACTGAATTTGAATCTAACAAACTTCGTCTTTTTCCCAACACTCTGAATGAAATGGCGATGGTGTGGCTCTTTACACTTCCATCTGCCAACATTACCTCCTGAAGCAGTTGAATGAAAAATTTCTAGTCAAGTTCTTTATGGCTTCCAAGACTTTTGCTATGAAGAGAGAAATTGTCTTTTTCTCATAAACTACGTGAAGAGTTTCTTGAGGCATGAGAGCAGGGCAAGAAGTATTTTACAAAGTATCCCCACCCCGACATTGATGAAGACATATGGATGAATATATTCTTTTGTTGTGCGGAAGCGTCAAATATGAAACCAATAAGCAACAACGACAAAATATGACAAGACAAATAATCCAAAGCACAAGGATTTATACTGGTTCGGCGTAAGCCTACGTCCAGTTCCGAGACAGCGAGGAAATTCCACTAATATCAAAAGGAGATTACAAATAGAGTTTTAATTCTCAAACCCAAATCCCACATACAATCAATAGCTCTCACTCAAACTAAGAAACAAATGGAGAAGAAGAAACACATATCAAAATCCTTCTCTCCCAAAAGCTACACAAGTAGCACCAACATCTTTGATTGAGTGATTACTAACAAAATGGGATTATTACAAATGGTGGGAAGGAGCAGCTCATATTCAAATGGGAGAGCCGAATGCTCTCCCTGGTTTCTCTCATCTGCCGCTCCCCCACTTTTCTTCTCTCGGCTTCTCCTCAAACATATAGCAGCTGCTGCTGCCTTAGAAAATACCAAAAGAAAAGCTCTTTTGTCAAGTTGCAAAGGAAGGAGCCGAATAAACTCAATTCCATTTGCCTATATAAAAAAAATCCAAAGTAAAGGAATAATCATTCCTTTACAAATATCATCATGACCTTTCTGTTTCTTTTCAACAAACATCATCATTGTGTCTTTACTCATGATGATGTCCACCAAACTTTTCTTTGTTTAATTTTATTAGCCGAAAGTGAATGTGGTCACTATCCAACATCTTTAATGGACTAAATTTCAACTACCAAAAGTTATGTTAATGCATCACCTGGAGGTGCGTTTATGTTCAAAAATGCCAAAGAAGCATTATGACGGCAGAATCTCAACAATGGACAACTAAATTGACACATAAAATGTTGTTTTGAGAGGTCACTAGGATCTCCCCATGTACCGGCTCAAATTGAGAATGTGGAGAAGAAGCTTGAAAATTTTGATACCAAGTTTGACATGATTTTAAAGCACATTGCCTCACCTACAGAGCAGCCACCACCTACAGCTATGACAACAAATTGTATAATATGCAGCATGCCTACACATGACCTATTGGGCTGCCAGCATAGGGATGCCTATCCCGAGCTCGTCGATGAACATGTCAACATGATGAATGATTACCAGAGTGAACCATACTCGAGTTTCTATAACCTAGGATGGAGGGATTACCCGAATTTCAAGTGCATTGGAAATTAGCAGACCAAGCCATATCCCCCATAGCCAGTACAGCAACTGCCGAACCAGATAAGGCTGTTTGGGAAATTGGCTTTGAGAAATTGATTGAATCCACAGGGTAGTACATTGATCACAATAAACAAGAGATGTAGAATATGATCGCCTCCATTAAAAATTTAGAAAAACATCTGAGCTAAGTGACTGAGAGAGAAAAGGAAAAATTCCTAGTCAAATCGTCCCTAATCCTAGAGGATATGAATAATGCAACGCAGTCAGGTTATTGCGCAGTGGAAAGAATCATAGTAACCGTGAAGAGGAAAAACATGAAGAAACAGTTGCAGATAACTCACGACCAGCATCTAAACAGGCCCCATCAGAACCTATTGTTGCTAGGAGTGGGTACGGGCCGGGCCGGGTTCAAATTTTGAGAGATTGGACCGGAACCGTTTAAAATGCAACGAGACAGGTCGGGCCAAGTATAAGATTTCTAAGATTTGGACTTTTATAATTTACCATTTCCCCATTTAACTTTAATTTTAGCCGATTAACCCTCCTAAATTTTTATAAATAGTAAATTTCCCCCTTAACACTAGATTAAAATTTTTAATTCAATTTTTTATCCATTTTGATCGTTGGACAACACATGACAACTGTGTAGAGGCAAAAAGAACGGAAAATTGGATGGATGAAAATTTAAAATCTAACACTAGGGGGTAAATAGGCTATTTATAAAATTTTAGGGGGGTGGCACCTTTATACAAGTTCAGGGAAGCAAATCGACAAATACCTCTTTTACTAAAGATTGGTTACAAAAATATTTTTACAAAAACATTTTCAATCATTTTAAAAATAGCTCTAAACGAGCCCTTAATCTAACCAAACAAAAGTGACACTATTAATAGCCTTAATCAACGAAGAACAATTACTAATTATCCATTGCCAATAGCAGAGAAACAGGAATACCATTAAGCTATATTCACGCGCCAATCTGTGATTGTTTTGCCTTAACCGCCCGTCGTTTCTTTCTAGAGGTAACCCGAATGATTAGGAGATAAGCTATATTCATGTCCGCCAAATCAGACTACGCTGTTTGTACCAAGTATGAAGAATCAAGCAAGCAAGCTCGCTCGTTCGAACCGATTCCATTGAAAGCACAAGCCCTTCGTATAAATAGCCGGCAAGAAAAGCTCTTATTCCAAACGCTAACAAAAAAAACTGCTTTTCTAGAGAGAGAAACGAGAACACAAGAAAGACGGTGAAGAACTAGAGAGGGAAGGGTGAGCATTAATGGCGGCAGAGAAGCAAGTGATGGTGATCGGGGTGGACGAGAGCGAGCAGAGCCAGTACGCTCTGGAATGGACTTTGGACCACTTCTTCAAGCCCTTCGGCGGCGACAAAGCTCCCTTCAAGCTCATCATTGTCCACGCAAAGGTCCAGGTTTCCGCCGCCGTCAGCTTCGCCGGCCCCGGTAAGAGTCTTACTGCGACATGAAGTGATTTTCACGCACCTCTACAATGCAGAGTAGAGGAATAAACTGCCGCGGAAAATAACAAATGTGCAGAAGTCGATTTGTTTTGATTGTTTAGTTAATTATGATTAGCTAATTATTTTGCATGTGTGCTAAAATTGCAGGAGCGGCGGAGATTCTGCCGATCGTGGAAGCTGATTTGAAGAAGACTGCTGCCCACGTAACTGAGAAGGCCAAGGAATTTTGCGCCTCTAAATCGGTATTTAGATGGTTTCCATTCTATATGATGGTTTCAACACGAGATTCGTAATTCTTATGCTATCATAGAACACAGCGGAACCAAATGATTGCACACCGATGTGATACGAAGAAATTGCCTTTCGCTAGCAGCTTTTCTGAGCACTACATATTCTAATGGTTGCAGGTGACCGATGTGGTTGTGGAGGTTGTGGAAGGAGATGCTAGGAACGTTCTGTGTGATGCTGTTGAAAAACACCACGCATCCATCTTGGTTGTGGGAAGTCATGGCTATGGAGCCATCAAAAGGTATTCCCTCAAACTTAATCTAATCTTTTCGAGTGGAACAAACAACCATCACTAATTCGCGCGATTAAGTTTGAGCCGAGCTTGAGGTTTTTCATGGAAAATGATGTTACTTATCCGTGGAAATCTTAATGTTGCGTTTGATTCTGTTGCAGGGCGGTTCTGGGAAGCGTCAGCGACTACTGCGCCCATCACGCTCACAGCACCGTGATGATCGTGAAGAAGCCTAAAACCAAGCACTAAGCCTCCTTTGGGTATTCAATTAAGCAAGACAGAAAATCCATCGTGAAAAATTACAATACATATATAATAAAGGGAGATTTTGAAGGCGGTGCTTACTCTTCAATATTTTTTAATTGAAACCTTATTGGTTTTCAATGTTTGATTAAAGTCCATGAATTATGTACACCTCAGCAAATTAGTGTTAATGTATTTTTTTAATTTAAAAATATGTAATTGCAGTTACCTACATTTATGGAATTAAAAACTCATGATTTGTGATTTAAATATCAAAGATAGATTAAACTCTTAAATATCTTTATCATCATAATCTTCACAATCATTCATCAATACCAGCCTTAAAACCCAGAACCTTGAGGAATAATGGACTACATAACATCGGGTAAATCAATACCAGCCTTGTGGGTACATTCATCAATTAAACAAAAAAAAAAATTAATGTACTACAAAACATTGGGTACATTCTCTTACAAAAAAAAATTACTATATAACATTGATACCTTCTTCGAATAAACCTCATATGGATGCATACGAGGTTTATTCTATGACTGGAAAAAAAAATATGGGTAAACCTCATATGGACTCATGTTATGTATTCACTATTCATGTTCATAAGTGGGTACAATATTTATTGATATGGGCACATTCTAGGGCCCAAAAAAAACATATAGGTAATTGATATAGGGTACATAATATAAACATAAATATTGCACCCAAAAATTATAAACATGGATACGCAATATGAATACAAAAATATTTTTTTTCCCACATATTTTAATTTTTTCGGTAGAATAAAAAAAACAAAATGTTTAGGAATTAAATTTTATTGAAAAAGTAATTAATGTAAGATGATAATTAGTTGCATGAAATAGAGGAGTTAAACGCTCAATTAAATTCTCATTTATAATAAAAATAATCTAAAATGCTAACGTGGAAATAACTCAAGGACTTCAATTAAAAGTTTAAAACACATAAGGTTTCAATCAAGAAAATATTATCACTAGGGATTAGAACCTAATTTTCCCTATACGGTGGATTCGTCCATTTGAGAGTTGAATCTTGAAAGGTTATTTGTATGTATATACTTTGTGCTTAGAGTTTGATCGTTCAAACTTCAGAGTATGACATGTATTTATAGGTCGAAAGTTTAAGCTTTCAAACTTTTGGATGACAAGTTGATCCGTGTATCAAAAGTTTGATTGGTAAAGTTATGATATAAGTTATATTTTCATTGGAATAAGACTTGGCTGCTGAACATTTCAACAGGAGGTCTTGCTTACATCCAATCTCGGGTGGACACGTAAATTAAAACTTGGACACGTGTCCACCCGGGATTAAGTATAAGCAGGACCTCCTGCTGAAATGTTCAATAGCGAAGTAGCGTCATTTTCATTGCCATTTCTTAATCTCTGCACTACCAACATAAGAATCAAGATGTTAAGATTCCAAAGAGACAGGTTATGGTCCACCACTAATAACATCAATTATGCCTATTTAATCCGTGCAATCAAAAGGTGTGTGGATAACACGCTTCGAACGTAAAAAGAGAAAATAAGAGTGAAAAAAAATACATACATACATATATATATATGTATATATATGTATATTGTTGGACGATAAGAAAGCATGTCAGCTCGCATAGAAAACCTAAATTTTCAATCGAAAAACCACATAGGCCACAGAATGATCTGGGGCGGCGTTTGTGCAACAACAGACGACAGCAAAAGGGTGTTGGAATTATTGGTTTGGGAGAAACCAAGATGGATATATACGCCGTTGTTTATGGGAAAACGACTGCCAAATATTGTGTTACAAAACTCAAAAGGGTAGAACCGTAGAAGATAAGAGTTCCAATAGAATCAGTTATAAAAAATAATAATTAAATATAAAATCGATTGGACAAAACAAACAAAAGTTGAACGCATGACGTCAGGTGCAAAAGTAACTCAACATTTTAAACTAATTAAACCACAAACGCTTTGCGATTGACTTTTTATTCTAGATCCATGACCTTTTTTTTTTTTGAAAGAAAATTCGATACTAGATTATTGGAAGAACTCATGTCAATACAAAGATTGAGAAAAACTAAAGACCTAAGGTAGAAATTGAAGGCTTAGACTAGTCAGACTACACATAAAGTTTTAATCGTCGTACTACAATAATAACTTACTCTCTAATCCGTGCTATACTGATAGAAAGAATCAAGAATTGGGTATCTATTGATGACTAGCCAGCTTCTTAGATTTTCAAGGTATCTGTTGATAAAAATCTTCTATTTTTATTCTTTAAATATAGAATAGAACTATTTTTATTCCAGCGGACGGTAAGAGAGATATATTCCACCAACATATCCAACAGCGCCAGTGGTAATGTGTTATTTTAATTAATTATAAATTTATAATTAAGATGATCATTAGTGGGGTCTAGCCAATAATTAATTCCATATACTGTACCTACAATATAAGTAGGCACAGAAGATGAGCAAATTATTCATACCTCAATCTTATTACGATTTAGAAGACAATTGCGATCTAAACAAAGCTGCAATGGCGAGTAACACTGTCGAGAATTCGAAGCAAGTAATGGTGGTTGCTATGGACGAGAGCGACCACAGCACGTACGCGCTCGAATGGACTCTCAGCCACTTCTTTATCCCCTATACATCAAACCCCGCTTTCAAGCTCGTCGTCGTCCATGCCAAGCCCCCTCCTCCCGCCATGGCCCTTGTCGGACCTGGTATGTAGATATTCACGTCTATTAACTTACTAACTAGTTGGCGTTCGAGCTCTTTCTATATACGCATAAATATTAATTGGGTATAATGCAGCTATATATACTCAACTTGGTGAAATGTGTAGGAGGAGCTAAAGTTTTGCCAATTCTGGAGGCAGACTTACAGAAGATAGCCATGCGAGTTGTCGAGAAGGCGAAGAAAATTTGTGCCAGTAAACAGGTAATGATCCTCACGAAACGTACTTACATCTTGGATGTCGCTGTGCCGGTTTCTCCAATTCTGCAGGGAAAAGCTCATAACGTTCTCTTTGAGGCTAATATTTTTTGTTTAATTTGATGTTTATGTAGGTGAATGATGTGGTGGTGGAGTTGGTGGCTGGGGATGCTCGAAACGTTCTCTGTGAGGCTGTAGAAAAACACAAGGCATCCATCTTGGTTTCTGGAAGCCATGGCTATGGAGCTATCAAAAGGTAACTCCATTTTCTTGCTGCTTCTCTTCATGCAATGCAAATTTGCAGGCAGTAACGATCAATCGACTCTGGTTCTCTCCTTCTCTTGCAGGGCCGTCCTGGGCAGCGTAAGCGATTATTGCGCTCATCATGCTCACTGCACTGTGATGATTGTGAAGAGGCCGAAAATTGAAAACTAAAATCTGCCACTCTCCAAAACGTCTCTACTAAAGAGCGGTAGCTGTCCGGCAGTCCGCCGGCATATAATTTCAAGCATGGTTGCTGTTTTGATCCTTGTAAAGAATTGTTACTCGATGTAAAATATGTTATTGTCTATGGATCCCGAGCATCTACATTTAGAACTTGTGCATTTACTGCATTTCACTACGTCTAGACGATTCTTACAATTCAACGACTTAACACACGACGCATTCGAAATCTCAATATAAATTTAGGATCTTATTAAAATCTTACAACATGACATTGACATAATACAATCTTATTGAAACGCAAACAACAATACAACAAAGAAGGTTTTGAGAACACAACAATAACAGCAGCAACAACGCTTGAAAAAATTGACATACATCGAAATAAAAACACATTCCACTCTCCTCAGATCCTGGAGAGCGAGAACTCTATGGTGCTTCGGAGTATTAGTACATGCCCTCCTTAGAGAGCAATCTCCATCAAGAGTACAATGGCAGGTCGGTCCAAGCCCCAGAGACATGTCCATTTTCACAGACATAAGCTCGAACAACCGGCTCGCCATCGTCATGGTACCCGAAAACCCGCCTCAAGCAGAATGCAGAATGCAAATCCCAAGTGTCTTTGCAGGTGCAAAACGCGCAATTCAGATCAATCTTGCTGCGGTTCCCATCCTTGATCGTCCTCCACACTTGGGACCCCTTGAAATCCTTGAAAATCCCTCTGAAAAGCATGTAATTTCGCTTCTCTTCGATGTGCACGCAGCCGGGCCAATCACAAATGTACAAGCGGTCGCCGCGGAACCGGCTGTGGAGAAGCTTGTTGCCCTGCTCACGGCTCAGATTCCAAACCCCAGAAGCCAAATGCGACCTCATCGGTCTGCACACCTTCCTTTTCTTGCAAATCGAAAATTCGCTGCCCACTCGAACGGAGCCATTATCGACATCGACGGAGACTTGATCCTCCGCCGCCTCCGTCGCCGCTGATTCTAATTGGGAATTGTCTTGCTCTTGATCATGGGCTTCAGAATCGTTATAGACTGTATCGAAATAAAGATCATCGAACAGAGACCAAGAACAATCATTTCCAGAGGAACCACCCTCCTGATTCGCGCCAATTTGGCTCGAGGACGCCTCGGTCGGAGGCTTCGCCGCCGGAGATACGCCGAGCGGACTGGAGTCCAATCTCCGGTAATCCTCGTCGGGACCGAGCTCGCGCTCGAGCCCAAAGTCGGAGTTCTCGAAGAGGACGCCGGAGTGGAGGAGGCCGGGGCAGCAGACAGCGAGCTTGTGAAGAGCGGCCCAGCCGCCGGGAGGCTCGGAGGAGCCGGCAAGGAGATCGGAGACGACGGAAGGAATGACCTTGTAGCACTTGGTCTTCCAGCAGACGTTTCGGATCATGGAGGAGAACTTGGTGCAGGAGCAGGCGAGCCGAGCCCAGTTCCGCGGGTCCTCCTCGAGCTTGAAGAGGATGTTCACAACGACGTCGTCGGAGAGCTTCGAGAAGAGAGTTCCGGCCATCGGAATTCAAACTTGTCTGAGAAATGAGGGGACAAAAGGACGAAATTGACGTTGGATTTGGGTATTTTGGGGGATTTTGAGAGATGGTTAACAGAATTTCCGATTGTTTGGTTCGATTTGTTTTTCAGTTTGTTTCCGGCGAATTGATTTGGGGAGAGAGAGATGGGGAAGTTTGCGAAGAACAGTGTGTGTGTGAGTGGTTGGTTGGCTAGAGAGAGAAAGCGAGGTGATTTTTTTGCCGTTGGAATTTGGTGGAGCTGAGATGGCTCTCTGGGGGATTCTACAGCTATTTGATTTATATTATTTTGACAAGACGAGTGACTCGAACTTGAGTACAAAGTTTGAGAAAGGCTCGTACATAACACCGTATTATTGAATTGAAACATCATGCAACGTGAGATAATTTCTATAAAAAAATAGACATATATCTTGACAACAAAATGAATTAATCTTTGAACTGTGCTGTTATGACCAACTAACTTAAAAGAAATATGTGTAGTTTGATTCATTTTGATTTGTTTTTTTTTTAATTAGAAAATTTGTTTATTTTGTGACCCCTCGAGAAATGACATAATTCAGAACGAGAATATCCGAGGTAAAGACGGAGTGACCGTAATTGAAGTTAAGATGAGAGAAACTTGGTTAAGATGGTTTGGACATATGAAACGAAGACCTAAAGATATTCCGGTTAGAAAATGCGATTATGAGATAGAGGCTCAGGACAAAAGAGGTAAAAGAAAACCCAGTAATACTTGGAGAGGGTCTTTAAAAAAAGCATAGAGTACTTGAAACTAATAGAAAACTCAGCGTAAAACCAAGCACATGACATTTTAAAATCATACAAACAATTTCACTTAGTAAGATAAGATTTTATTGTTATTTATGACCCAACTGATCCTCTCCGGATCCTTTTGGTAAGAATCCGGAGGATCTGGGAATCGTGTCCGTTCATTGTACATTGTGCGATCAATTGTTGTCAAGTACTGTTTATGTTTATTTTTAAATAAAAACATTTAAAGTAATTTCTAATCACACAATGTACGATAAACAGACACGATTTATAAATCTTTGAAATTCTCACAAAAAGAATCCAATGAGAATGCGGACTCATTTGTGATCCCTCGAAATTTCTCGTGAGTATACGTGAGGCTTGAAAATTGTATATTTCACTGTCATGTTGTCACACCCACTTATTTTTGGGGGACAATTTACATCCTCATCACTTGGGAGCCTTTTGACCACACTTTATTAGGAGGAAACGTGTGGCTCTCCCCCACCCGGGCCACCCCTCACCTTCTCATATGACATTCGAGGAATTGTGATGCTCTTATCCGAACTTGTTGAGAAAATCCATCATTTGGTAAAATAATTGTAGATAGAGACTTTGTGTTTGATTCACTTGCCTCAAGTATAATAATTGAGTCATCTAGTTTTCATTGTGGCCATGTTTGATTCATGGAATAAGATTGGTTAGTAATCCAACTCTCGTGTTTGATCACAAAATAAGTTCATTAAAAAGAGAATTCTCGTGTCCAATTAAGAAATCATTCTATTGAAAATGAAGTACTCGTGTTTGATAAAATAAGTTTACAGGTAATGAAATTCTTGTGTCTAACTAGGATACAGTACTTTGCAAATGAAACTCTCGTAGCTAATCACAACATATATTTTAAGGAAAACTAATAAAATTGACTTGAAAATTTTAAGTTTTAACGAAAAGAACAAAAAGATGTTATAAGCGAATAGTACCATGATTAACTTTTAAAAGTAAAAATATGATTTTTCGTTAAAATAAATAATATCGAAAGCTTTTTATTAAATTTTTTTATATTTTATTGGATTTTATGTCGTGATTAGAAATGAGAGTGGACTGCGGCTGCCTTCGGTTGAAAGTGTGCGGTGTTAGATGCAGGACATTTGAGTCCACAAATCTGAACGTTGTCGTTTAAATATTGAATGGCATAACCACCAATCGAAAAAGGCCAAAGATTTTTGAGTGTGCCGAAACAAAAATCAGACTTCATTTGTTATTATCCTATTTTCCGCAGATTGCATTGCCACTGCTAGTTTGCATCATTTGCATTTCATAACACCTTATCGCTACAACACGCGAAATTCTCTCTTGCAACAAAACATAGTTCAACGTCAAATTCTCTCTTGCAACCAAACATAGTTCATCGTCGCCCATCTAATCAATGCTTGCTACGTGTCCAAAAAGAGAATTACTCATCCAATAGACAATAAGTGGTGAATCTATCAAAATTCAAGAGAGTACCTCTCCTATAAGACTTTCTTATCACTTGACACAAAATAGTGCATCAAAGTAGATAAAGTCGGGCACACGCGAGTCAGACCAGTTCACCAAGGCAGCGTGTCATCCCTCTTGCACCCAATTTCACATCATGTATCCCCTAGTTTAGAATATCGCATTGTCAAAAGAACATACGAGGGCCTTCAACATACATTTTTCCGTCGCTGGATGTTCATTCGAGTATATCATCAATCGCGTCAATGTTAAACAAATAAATGAACAATGAGACTTCAAGCGAAAATGTAGCAAAGAATCTCAAATGCATTACAAGGTGCGAAGATGGTAAAACGCCAGTTTTCAGTTAAACAACAGCCCGCCGCAGTAAACAATGTAACAGACACAGTGATTTGAAAATGAATATATCCATAAACTTACAAGTTTGCTAAATAAAAGGTGCCCGAATTACAGTCCCTTAACAAGGATTGTAAACCTTTCTCCGAGCGATAACTTCAGGTCAGGGATAACATCATATCACCTATCAAATAGAATTGCAATCAGAGTCTAGAACGAATTGTTGCACGAGTTCAACGTTCGCAAAGCAATAGCAATTCGTGGAAAATGTGTCAAGAGAAGAAAAAGATGGTGCGACAGTGATGACACTAACAAAAGTAAATGTAATGCTTGAGAATGATACCGTGACAAACTCTTGCTCCTGCTCCTGCTCCGGATTGGACTCCTGCTGGCACTACGCTTCTTTGGACTTTTACTAAGGTGCTTCTTCGGGCTTTTACTAATGCGTTTCTGATTATGCCAACAAAACAAAATTATAAAGGGCCAAAGAGCCGTAATCCAATTGCAGTTATCACACGAATCCAATGTCAAAACAAATCCTGAGAGGCCGTCATTAGTAAAGGAGAAATCAAATCAACTGCCAGCCAAACTTTATAAACATTAGACTTTACTTCATCCACTATCACAGTACAAAAATGTCATAAACAAGCCTCAATAATATCTTAAATTAAACCCAGAATACAAAAAACTACCGAAATGGGGCAAGTAACAAGATATTGAAATACTTTTTAAGTGAAACAATAGTACAAAAATAAGACTTACCGAAGGCACTGGAGATTTGCTTCTTGATCTTGATCTGCAAAAGTTCCAGAAACAACCGAATTTAATAACCATGTTCCTATTACCAATTTGATCCAAGGTCCTTGATGCCTCTTCCATGTGAAGTTACCACATCCAATAAGGATAGAAGAAAAAAATTTAAACATTTAGCATACCAATAGAAGAAAAAATGAATGAAAGAATTGATGTAAACCCCGCCAAAACAGATCACAAAATCAGAGGGAGAAATATTTGAAAAAAAGAAAAATTTATAATTATTTTTAAGACAACAGTGGGAAAGAAAAGGAGCATTCTTCCCTACTGTAACACAAGAATCCAGCAAATCCAGATAGTGTGACCTATTAGCCTGGCAAAATGTTGGAGCATGAAACGAAAATCAAATTGTCTCTACTGCTCATTGACGATGACTTCCAAGTCCCAATGGCACTTAGTTCACAGATATCCAGCTTTACTAGTGCAATCCAAGACTTCCATTGATCCCAATCTAGCACCCATGGACATTTACAATGCCAAAAGCATTAGAACAGAGGCACCATGAACGTTTTGCAAAGATGCCTATCTAAACAACAGCATACCTCCATAGAAAAAGAGTTGTAAGCAATTGACCTTATCCAATCAAGATCCTAAAATCCAATTCCCAGTTCGCCGCATATATCCATATCTAAAAGAAAAACAAAGGTAATTTTCATGCAAGCAAAAAGGGAAAAGAAAATAAAAACTAGTTGGATATCTGACTCTTTCTTGGCAACCCCAACTGCTGAGCAGGAAACAAAGGAATTGACCAACACGAAAAGATTCCAGCACAAATGAGATAATTCATACTTTACAACTGCAAGAAGACATTTAATTCTACACATGATATCTTATTGCAATAGTAATCTCCATCATTATTCACCTCATGGACCCATGAAAACCCAGATCAAACGTAATCAACAAACAAATAGCTAAATGACTATTTGGAAATATAAAAATAACCCATACTCTGATGGAGAGCGAGACCTTGATCGTGAACCGGGGAGAGAAGCCGATCTTGATCGAGATCTAGCGGGTGAGCGGCGTGAAGATTTGGTTTTTGGAGACTTGCTGCAATCAAATGTAAAAGTCACAACATTAAATAGAAATGTTTATTCCCCACATCTACAGAGTTGTGGAATTGACAATGGTCAAACCTCCTGCTTCTGTCCCGGCTATAACTTGGACTACGACTGCGACTGTAGCTCCTGCCTTTTGAACGAGATCGACCGCGACTAGGGCTCCTAGATGAGTCCCTCTTCGCATCATATTCCCTCACCTGTGTAGTAAAATGAGATAATAAACGAATTTAACAGAAGTATAGAAGGAAAGGAGAGAGATTTTCAACTGTAAGATTCATACACGAACAGATTGGCGGTCAAAAGCATTCCGGAACTCAGAGCCATCAAGCTTTTTGATCTGCAGAAAACAAATTTATGAAGCTTGAGATTCTTACATAGATGCTTCAGACACATCGACATACTAATATTTCACACCTAGAACTCATGCTTCATAGAAGGTTAAAGAAACTATTTATGTCTGGAGGGAGAAAGTAAAAGGAACACTTACCGCATACTTCATATCTTCTAAGTTCGTGTAATCCACAATCCCAGTTGTGCCTACAAAAAAAAACATAGGATAAAAGCTAAAACGATTGAAATATGAAGACCTATGAACCACTAAACAATATTAAAATGACACCATATGAAAGAGCAGAATACATCCCAAAAACAGTCTGCACATTGGTTGAGAAGCACTATGAACCACTGAGCAACTTTTATCGTACCACATATCATAAATTTTTCTAAGTCACCAACATGACAAAACCAGCCAAATCAACAAAAACTAGCAGGAGATGGTAGGAGAAAAACTGGAAATTCTATTAAGCTATGTACAAACTTGAAAATGCTAACTCTAAAGAGTGAGAAAGGAGTTCATAGCATTAATTACGAATGTTTGAATAATATTTTACATGAAAACTTAATTCTTATTGGTTCACAATCATAATGACTCCATAAATTAGTGAGTATGCTAAGAGTAGAAATTTTCTAGAGAACTCCTAAAGTAACTTTTTAACTAAATTTTGAATTAAAAATGGAGAGCATGATTGGAGATGCGCAAAAAATATCCAAGCAAATATCTGACACATGATACCAAAGGAATACCCTCGATTATGAAAAGCAACTTACCACTACCATCACGAAAAACTTGGGAGAAACAGACATCTCCTGCCCGTCGCATGTGATCCTAAATAAAATGCATCACATGAGTCAGATATGAAGTGACAGTTACCACACCAAGGGAGAATTATAATGAAAAAAAAATCTTCATCTGATAAATACAATAGCACACCTTAAGATCTTGCCATGAAGCGGAAGGGGGAAGTTCACTGACTAACACTGTGGACGGAGAAGGTTTAGAAACACATCAGATGCATCCTACCACATATAAAACAGCACAAAGTATATCAAATGAAATACACACCACGATAATCTGAGCGCTTAGACATCCCACGTCCACCTCGACCACCACTATAGTTACTCTGACGATCTGAAGAAGATGAATGCCCACGCCCTCCATGTGCAAGTTCAACCTACAGAGATATACATCAGAATACTATGTATAGGCAAAGTACCACTGCTACCATGAAAAGTAAGCATAATAGCCTACCCGTAAACGATGCCCATCAAAATCATAGCCATCACGACCACGGAGTGCATCTTCAGCATCACGAGAGTCTTCAAACTGTGCCAAAGAACTTGTTCAAACACAGAACAAATGAAACATAAATGAATATCGTAAAGAAAGTAGCCAAGGGATCTCACCTCAACAAATGCATAACCAGGAGGCCTTGGAGGGACCTTCAGGTCAATATGGGCTATGCGTCCATACTGTGGAGAAAATTAGAAATTTCAGTCAGTCTATTCATGGCTATTATTTTAAGTCCTATTATATAGAAGCAAGTTTTTCGAAAGATAATATGATTGTTCACACCCAAGAAAGATAATACGAAGGTTAAGCAAGTTTTGCGAGAGAAAAAAAACACGTGCTTTTCCATTCCTAATTTCAAAATTCTATTCATTTTTAAACAACATGAAACCCATCAATGTACAGTTCTACTTCTACACATACAAGTACAATCAAATGAATTCCAAACAACAATTTCCCATCAAAAACCGCATAGCATTGTGTCTGCAAATCAATTCAAACAACAAACTGAATTACCTTGAAAAACAAGTCTTCCACCTCTCTCTCGCGTACATCACCGGGCAGATTCCCAACATAGAGAGTTCTGCTCGTACTACGACTGCTCATTGTACTGCCAAAAAACAAACAAACCCATTGAAAATTCGGATACGAAAAACTCCATACTTCATCTTCTGTAAACAAATTGAAATCCCCAAGGATCCTATTTGCTTAGATAAAGCATTCAATGGAAAATAAATTAAAAATTCAAATCACAGAACCCCTTGTCTAATTTTATTGAGCTCAGTCAACGAGAATCCGAAAACGATAATCAAAATGCAAATTCACATTCGATTTAAATTCTATCATCCTACGATTCTTGCGAAACGAAATCGAAAAAAAAAATGAATTACGATTTTAATTTCTATTACCTTCCGATGAAAATTGGGGATCGCGGCGAAGCAGAAAGGGGCCAAAGGGCTGGAGTTTCAAGGGTTAGGGTTTTGAAATTGGAGAGAAGAATAGTGGGGCTCCCAGATATTATTATGGGTTCGGATAACCTGTTGCGCTGAGTACGGCAGTATATACGACTCTGTTTTTGGTTTATTAGTTTAAACCGCCCGATCGTTAATCGGTTTGCGAAAGTTTGTATCTGGACCGTTGAAACTCACGCGGGACCAAAGAGGTGCACACCGCACTTGCGGACGTGGTGTAACGAATCTGATTACGAAGTGCAGTGACGTGTCATCGTCGTACTCGTAGGTTTGTGTTTCGAACTCAAACTATTCAAAACCAACGATGATGTTGCAAATATGAACTTGCTCTAGCTAGAATAATGAGCAAACTGCCGTTTAACCTTTTGAATTATTATCCAAGTTAAAATCAATATCCTGTATTATTTTTTTAGTAAATTAATTCGAACTATTTAAAATTAACCAATTAACATTACACCATCAGATTCAATGAAATTTCTTCTATTTTTTTGTCAAATTATGGCACAACTTTAATCTCAAAAGTGAATCATGTGTTGATCACGTGTCAGTATCTGACAAAATACAAGAAGTAACAATCACCATTTCAAATGTAAGAGAAATATAACAAAATCAATACCCTGTATTATTTTTTTAGTAAATTAATCCAACTATTTAAAATTAGCCAATTAACATTACACCATCAAATTCGATGAAATTTCTTCTACTTTTTCGTCAAATTCTGGCACGACTTTAATCTCAAAAATGAATCATGTGTTGATCACGTGTCATTATCTGACAAAATACAAGAAGTAACAATCACCATTTCAAATGTAAGAGAAATATAACAAAATCAATACCTTGTATTATTTTTTTAGTAAATTAATCCGAACTATTTAAAATTAGCCAATTAACATTACACCATCAAATTCGATGAAATTTCTTCTACTTTTTCGTCAAATTCTGGCACGACTTTAATCTCAAAAATGAATCATGTGTTGATCACGTGTCAGTATCTGACGAAATACAAGAAGTAACAATCACCCTTTCAAATGTAAGAGAAATATAACAAAATCGTACTCATTCCCTTTGTTTTGGACAACAAATTTCTATTCATTGCCCTACAAGAAGTGACAGAAAGGACAGAACATAGTAGACAGACATTCGATGTATGGAGAATTCGCCATCTAAAAAACCGAAGCATAGCCTTCAAAACCACACGAAGCAATTCATAAATTTCCGCCTGTAGGAATACTTCCGGAAAGAGAGAAAAATAAACAAAGAATTTGAAAAGGAATCGGGTTTATATTCCACGTCATATTAGTCTAGAGAGCAGAAACACCAGTTTAAGTCACCAAGCAAATGAATGTCGGAATCTGCAGCTACTAAAAGCAAAACTAAATTGACCATAATCAAGTAAAAGACCAGTCTCGGCAAAGATACAGCATTCGTTCTCCACACATTTATTACTCCTTCAGTTCAAAAGATGGTCGATTTCTGCTATGGATGGTGATGCTTATCAACCTCTCCACCCTCCTTGGCCCGTGCAGCTGCCCTTATTTTACGCTGCTCCTCCTTGTAAATTCGATTCCTTCGTTGAAACTGCGATAATAGATATGCAAATAAATTATGATGCGAACAAGACAAAAACATTCTCTCTTTAAGAGAGAGGTAAATATTATTGTAGTAAATGTTCTCCTAAGACGAACCACATTACTAAGTTGAAAGTCTCATACTTGTTGTCCAGCAAGTTCCAAAAAGTTAAGAAATGATTATGTATGTTCATAACCTGAGATGAATGGCACATGCCTACAGTGAAATAAAGCCATTTTACAAGTTTATTGCCTTGACTTGGGAAGCTAATCGTGAGAGGGATGAGAATGCCATCTTGATTCCAAAGTTTTCAAATCACGGAAAACACTATATAGCTTCACCTCACCCGACACTATATGAAGACAATCATGTACTTTTTGACATTTTCTTCTCACCTTTGCTGATGTGCAAAACTTTGTAGAAGATTTTCTTGTTCGAATTATACATTATATTGCCAATTGTGTGACCAATTATATAATATATGCCAATTATGTTGTCAAATTGTTATTATGTTTAACCTCCTATTCTTAAATGCTACAGATGGTGTATAAAGTCATAGAACTCAACATTTAACATAAGGTTGAATCATTTTGTACTTGAAGAAATCTAAAAATACAATGTGATTCACAACAACAACTACGCATGACAGCCACGATACTCGGAATCAGCCATACACAACATATAAGTAAACCCAAGCAACTCCTATATTTCTATCTCCCAAATATTTGATACATAAAACTTCATCTTTTTTCTCTTGAATTTTAGGAGATACATAGAACTGTATAGTGCACTCGGATTCAAGATTATTCCCAAGCGGTTCTACAGTTATATGTTACTACAAGGTGGAGAATAGAAAAATAAAAAAGAACCTGAAAATGCATATGCAAGTCCTTACAAAATAAGGGAGAAAATGGAATGGAAAATAGAGGTGGCAGACTCGTGACTCGTGCAATGTAAGACCACTGGCACTTGATTTCATCATCACGCTAAGTCATGGGATATGACACTAGCTAATTTCACCATCGTGAGGCTTTTTTTTTCATGGATAACGATATATTATACATATGTTTTAAATACCAGTTATCATTACCATTTAGTTTTAGTTCTAAGTTTTACGTTACCTCCACCTTTATTCAGTTTTCCTCTCTCCCACATACTATACTACAAAAACTGAAACCTAAAAACTAACAACGAAATGGTTATCAAAGGGGCCACAAGTAGTCAATATTAAAGGCTCTAATTGAATATGAGCCATCATTCCATTAAATAAAAATCATCCATGAAAATAACTGGTCAATCTCCCGAATCCCGACCAAAAGAAAAACTCGTTTAGCTTTGCAATTTCAACCTGTTCATCAGTTCACTCCTTGAATGCCTAACGACAACAATGTCGCATGAAATATTTTCAAAAGCTATTATGCACAATGGGGGTAAGGCTAGCCGACATTCACCTCTCCCAGACCCTGCGTAAAGCGGGAGCCTTGTGCACTGGGTACGACCTTTATTATGCACAATGCATAAGCAATGCCGTGCTTCTGCATACTAACTTCTCTGATTTTACTTGTCTTCCTTCCTTTCGAACCAGAAAAAGGTAAAAAAAATAAATCCCAATAATCTTCGCTAACAGCCATCCCTAGGACACAAAACATCTATTATTTGAGAAATGAAATGAACGATATGTAATAAGCTGAAATCATCCTAAAATCAAATTTTTCAAGAAAACGCTCTTGTAATTAATTCCAGTTTTTTAGGTTTTCTTGTAATTTTATTAGGGAACTTTAATGAAAAGCACCTGGTACTGTTCACTTTAACGAAAAATCATATTTTTCAAATAATCATCTATTCCTTTTTTACCTTTTATTTGTCCTTATCATTAAAATTTAAAGTTTTCAAGCCATTTTCATTAGTTTTCCTATTTTATTAACCACATTTTTGTAGATTTATTTAGTTTTTTTTTTGTCATTTGCAATTTATTCTGCAATATAATAATCGGGATCGAACTCGATGATGAACTTATGAGCATATAAATCAACATTTACAGTGTACCAAAACTACTCTAATCATAATCATAATTAATTAGCATATAATCAACTGTTACATCCTTGTCTACCAAAACTACTCTAATCATGTATAATAGAGCATATTCAAAAGTGCAAAGAAATGTGGAACTTAGTGATGTGAATTTTATATGAAAATTTTGTGCAGTTTGATACTTATGATATAACAATTATCCCGACGGTCAAATTAATTATTGGAAGTTAATCTTATATTAGTCTCATTTCATTACCAAATCAATGTGTCTTCCTCGTATTTAAGAGCTCGTCAAGAGTTTTTGTTGTCTCATCGGCATGATAGGTAGTGTTACACTTCACGTGTTATTTTTCTTGTGGCCTTATATTCACTTTCATTTTATAATTACAAGGTTGTCGATACGGAGACAAATGCTTATTTTCTCACAATGAGAGTCTACCAATTACATCATCGAGCTCAACTTTGTGCCGGCCAACAGGCCTTGAAGCCGAAGCTACACCACTTCTACAGCGCCACCTAACGTCTAAACAAAGCTTAGATGATGCTAAGCGAAAAATTTCAAAAAACTGCTTCCATGTAAAGTGACGTACAAATGACATAATCGAACACCTCTAAGCAGTTTTTGGTTCACTTGACATCCAATACTCTCTATCTTTACCATGAAAAGAAAAAAAAAATCAATAAAGATGCAATATCTCGAAAAATGATCCTCGTCGAATCCTTGTCTTGGGAATCCAGAGGATCCGTGATCATGATCATTCATCGTACATCGTGCGGTCAGTTTTCGTTAGGTACTATTTATATTAAATTTTAAATTTTAAATAATTTATGACCGTACGATAAACGATCATAATCATGAGATTCCCTAGATTCCTGACAAAAAATCCAGCGATGATACTTTTTCCCAATATCTCAAGGATGGGCAAGCGATGGATAATAAGTGTTAAGGTGCCGCGTTGTAACTTCATACATTCCCGCGCGTGGGAACAGAATATCCTTCACCAGAAAAATAAAATAAAATCATAGAATATTCATCTATTTCCAAAAAAAAAAAAAAAACTCCAAATTCTCTGAGAAAATGCTGAAACTCCTCCAAGTGAGCTGCTGAAGTTCTCATCCCAATGTCGCACAAATCCCTAGATTCACGGCACACTATCCAGCTCCATGGATGGAGACCTTTCCACCTGCAGCAGCAGCAGACCTCCACCCCCACCTCCAAAACCCTAGACTCCTCCGATCCCAAATCCAATGGCCTCCTCGTCCACACCAAGCGTCCCTGTTTATCCAATCGAACCACTTCATTTTCTATCGACGCCATCGACATGTCCCGGCTGACCCTGGTCGACGACGACAGGACGATCTCCGGCGGACACCATAATAGGACCGGGAGCTTTCGGTTCATCGCCAAGAAGCGGAGGCGTCGCGGGTCGAGGTCGGTTTCGGGGAGGAGTAGTGATCGGAGTGGGACCCGGAGGTGCTGCTCGGTTGGGGCTTCGGCTGCGTACGGCACGTGTTCGGATTTTCCGGTGGCGGTGGGGACGGACTCGAGTGGGGAGCTGTTTGGGAATGGGGATGCGAATTGGGCGTCGGATGTGAGCGAGGCGAGGAATTCGAGGAAGGAGAGAGATGGAGGTGGGGGGAGTGGAGAGAAGGAGAATGTGGGTGTTGGGTTTGGTCCCATTGGGGGTTTTGATGTTCAGGGGAATGAGTCCGGGTACGGCAGTGAACCGGGTTACCGCGGGGACGCGGAGTTCGGGTATGGCGATGAGTTTGATGAGGAGGAGGAGGATTCTCGGGTATTGTTTTGGGGCGATCAGTTTGGAGGTACATTTTGTCTAAAAACTCTTTAATTTGAAGCGCAATGAAGCATTTCAGATTAGCATATTTGGATTTGAGTACATTTCACTTGTGCAGCAGCTATAGTTTCATTATAGGGTTTTGGGAAAGTTTTCGGATTGGCGAATTTTCTGTATATAGCTTTAGTTCTCTGCATTGTGTTCTAGTTTTGATATACAAGTTTGCCTGGTAGACAGAATATGAGCATAGACTCTGGCGGAAATGAAAGTTTAGGGTGAGGGATGAGGGGCGAATTTGAAGGCTTAGCTTGGTGGCTCGCTATAACGCTCATTTAGTAAACTAGAAGGATCTTAGTTGGAACTTTGAACATAAATGGAGTGGCATCACCAGTGTTGCATTTGAATATGTTAGGCAGTAATCAGAATGGGCTCACCATGAAGTTGTTTCGGCATTACAAGTTTATAGATTAAGATAAGTTTGGACAAGCAAGGACATAGCCTTATAGTCAGGATTAAGTGAATATGACCGACCCCGACTTTCCTTTTTGGACTTTGGTCATAGTTTTATAACACCAGAGTAAGATAAGTTTGGACAAGCAAGGACATAGCCTTATAGTCAGGATTAAGTGAATATGACCGACCCCGACTTTCCTTTTTGGACTTTGGTCATAGTTTTATAACACCAGAGTTATATGATCCATCAGTATGTTAGCTTGCACTTGTTTAGTCGCTGTATGCCAGTGTGATAAAGAACAATATTATGATACCCTCGGGTAGATGTTCGTGTTCCACTCTTGCTTTATCAGCTTATCAACGTAGGTAAATATGTGGATATAATAAAATAGTAAAAGGAGGAGCAAAAGAAGAAGAATACCATCAAGTAGTTTGGGAAATTATGGAATCTTCTAATTTGCTTAGCTCTTTTTCTTGTGTTTGTTTTTGTGTATGTATTCATGAGATTCTAACCTTAGGTTTTCCAAATTGTTTGATTCAACTGGATATATATTGATGCGTCCCTTGTTGCTTCAGATGCTGATTCTCCGATGGAGACAGTAGGGGAGAATACATTTGTGGATCAAAAGTCCCATCACAGATGTCGGCGGAAGAAACATGATTGCAGAATGGTTGATGCAAGCCGAACTGGTTGGAGCATACAAAAGGCTTCTACATATCCTTTTTCTCGGTAAACAAAGTTCCTTTATATCACTTAGTCATCGGCTTTCTATTCAGAAGGATGGATGTTGGCCCCCTGATGAAATCTGTGTATGCTGTAATCACTGCTGTCCCACTTGTCGGGTCCATTTGGAGAGTGAGAGGTTTTGGTACGTATACGCAATAAAACTCGGATTCATGCCACAATGTTGCATTCTAAAATCGTGTGTAGAGGAGTATGAATGTGCATTATGCCATTGTGTGTTCATTTCTGCCACTGATATGAATTTCTATCAACTTTCCGGTTTATTTGGAGTCCTTATCGGCATAAAATGTGGGACTTGCTTATGCCATTTGACTCGCTAACGTTTGAATGCATGATGAAATCATATGTAAGTTTTTGTTGAGTTCGTAGGGTTTTCAAAGGTCGGGTACCAGCTTCAAGGAATTGGATCCTCTCCTGAGCTTGGGCTTAGGAGCCTCCTGACCAACACACAAGGGTCGTTGGATTTTGATCCAACAGCTACAAAAAAGGGGGGTGGCCTCTAAAAGTTATAATAATAGTAACCGTTTGATTCAACAGCACAGGAGAGGATCCAATTCCCAGCTTCAAATCGACCTTGTACTTGTATACTTCCACATAAGACAATAGACTATGGTGTCAATTCGTGAACATGAAGAAAATATTATGTGGTTTCTACTTTCGTATATGCACGTGTGATTCGGGTCATTTTATTCGAAATTTTTTCACCCTTCCTCTCAAAAATAAAGAAATGATTTTGCGACTTCTAAGAGTTGGTCAAATGGAAAGCGAGCAAGGGTTTCAAATTCCCAACTCGAGGCGAAACTCTCACGGCTTTGTTTTGGAGTACCCGTTTGATCCAGAAGCCAAATGTATCATAACGCCTAATGTAGTAACGAGAATCCATATAAAGGAAAATTAGTCTTTCATCAATGTGCAGCGAGATACTTCTTATATTTAAAAATAAAATAAAAAATAAAAAAGTGGACCTTGCATAGTAACACTAGCTGCCTGGCCCAAAAGAGAAACAGCTTCACTGAAATAGTCCATTATATTTAATTAAATTTGGGGAATGACAAAAAAGGGTTAAAAATGACGAAACGACGTCGTCTTAGGAGCAAGTACTAGATAGTAGCTTGAAGTAAAAGACGGCCCGAAGGCAGAGAGAGAGAGGACTGAGAGGGGCGGAGTTGAGAGTCTGAGATGGCGAGAGTAGAAGTACTGAGCGCGTACAGAGCGGTGATACGAGCGACGCGGAAGTCGTTCGCCGGAGACACGCCGATGCTGAAGGGTGCGGCGGCGGAGGTTCGCAAGAAGTTCGAAGAGAATAGGCACGTGACGTCAGAGGCGGAGATCCAGAGTCTCCTGGAACAGGCACGTGAGGCCTCCCGTTTCATCAGCGAAATGATCGTCCAGGCCAAGCTCAATCCCCACGGCGGTTACGGTAAATTTTCAATTCCAAATCATCTCTCTCGTAAATCCGTTCCATTGTAACAGTAGTAGCAAGCGTGTGTTCGTAATGAACCGACGGCGTTGCGAATGCCTTGAATGTGTTTGTTCAAATGCTTGTGTGGGTTGCTTTTGGGTACATTTTCTGTTAGATATCAGTGATTGGTTTTTCTTGTCGTGCCGAAATCCGAAATCTGATATGGTTTGCTTCAGTGAAGCTCCAATGAAATGGCATTAGTAATTTAGTATAAGGAATCATTGAGGAGAGAAATGTTGCTACACCGGATGTCATTACAGCATTGTTTCAGATCGCGTGTTTGACTTGAGATACCGCAACAATGACCGGGAAGTTGAGATTGATGGGAGTTGATTATGATATATTTGCTTCTGTCATGAACGGAATTCCAAAGAGGTTTGTTTACCGTTCAAACTCCGATTGGTTTTGCAGAAGTGAAGCCGGAAAAAGATCATGCCGGAGCAACACTTGAGGTTCCTTCCGAAGAGCTTCTTCGCACCAAATCTTGACTCGAGGAGAGGCATTTGCAAAGGTATGGCGGCACGCTCACTGCTTTTTTTCAGGGTTCGGGTGCTTTGGGGGGTTTTTCTCCATTCGATTGTCTACCAAGTTTTCAAGAATTAGTTGGAAGTTGAACCATTTGTTGATGAACAAGTTGTTCTATTTTGATTAGTAAATGTAATATGATTTTGGATGCATAATTTCTGAATGGCGAGAAGAATGCACAAACAGTTTACATTGCAGAAAGAAAACATTGCAATTGCAAATGAAAGAAGTAATATGAAGCGATTGGTTCCTCAAAACATATGTATTGATGGGTGCATCAAAATTTCTGTCTTTAAATAAACTGCAAACACTCAAATTGTTGATGCTGGCATATCAAATTACAAATGGGAAAGACACCTTCGGAAGTTGCTAGTTTTGGTCAATATCGTCACCATCTTCTTCTTCATCATTTTCCTCATCTTCCTCATCAATTTCTTCATCTTCGTCATCGTTATCCTCATCTTCGTGGTCGTCTTCCTTTTTCTTCCCATCGCCATTTCCTAATCAAAGATAAGGATATATAATCTTCTCTTAATCATATCATAGTGCAGACTCTTATCAAAATCACTAGAAATGGTAAGACAGAACAAGATTAACGTACCGTATTCACTGAAGATGACTCCACCGGAGCACAATCCTTCCTCAATCTTCATGAGTTGAAGAGTCATCCTGGGTCCTATCTCTTGAAGCTTGACAGCACTTTTTGAGGAAGCCCGATTAACCCTACCGAGATCATTAGCCAAAGTCACGGTCGCTGCCTCATCATCTGCTTCACTTTCTGATCCGTAACCAGCCCTTCGGAATAATATAAAAGATCAAGTTTAGTCCACTTTCAAAATGCAAAGCACGCAAACGTCTTATCTTTTCCTCCATTGTACTTCATTATGGTCTTTTTCCCGTAAAAAAACCTTGAGGAATCGAATCAAATTCATGCGTGACGTATCAAGTATATGACTGAAGGAAACAATCCAATTCCAAAATCAAATAACATAAATTTGAAGGCAGATAAGATCATAAGCATTCTTTAACAAACGCGCCTAAAACATTTCCAACTATCAACTCTAGTGTTTCCCCAACTCGGTCCACAATGAAAAATCGGCACGCCTCAATAACTTGTTATAAAATTAAATTGAAAACGCAAGTTCTAATTTCCATTTCCAAGCTGATTTAAACTGCTTCAAACCCAATAATAGAAAATGAAATAACTAAACAATAGGATGGGAAAAAGAAGCCTTACTTCGTGACAAAGTCGCTCACGTCTTGAAGATTTCTCAGATCAGGGACTTGATGGTTCTGAACAAATCTTCTTAATCTCTGGGAGACACCCACAGGCTGTAATCTTATGGAGTAATGCCGAAAATCAATCAGTTTTGTGTCTTTGTTGTAATTAAGCAACACTATTCTTTGGCATGAAGAAAGTTTCACCTGAATCATTTACAGCAAGAACGCAGTCAGCGGGGAACATAAATCCATTTTATTATGTTAACTGGTTGATATCATTTCATTAACTTACAGTGTTAACATCAATGGCTGGAAAGATGTTCTGAAACAGTATGGTTGTGAGCTTCAAATGTTGCTCTCCAGTCCCAAAACCAGAAAGAACAATCTGCGAAATAAAAACCACCCTTCGTTAGAACCCATTTCATGATAATCCGTTCATGAAACTTTAAACAAGCTGAATTTGCCTAAGCCGATTGCAACCGATTAATTATGCATCAACTAAATTTCCGTTTGAGTATGAAAGAGAGAAAGGGCATTTAAATCTAGTTTTCTCTCTTGTGTATTGTGATAGAGATATAAGATTACCAAAGGGGCATTCTTAAAAAGATCTGCTGGGCATCGAGGACGCTTCTGAGACCGCGCAATATCTACTGCCAAAGAGTACTCCTGTATCTTAAATGTAAGCGTTGGGCCTTGAGGCGTCCTCGCAACCCTAAGGTACGGAGCAGTTGGAGTTTTCGACAACATGAGGAAGTGTGTAACCCCCATTGGCCCGGCCACATTCAAAAAGTCTCTAAGATTATTCCGCCTCTTCTCCTGCATAAAAAAGCATTGCGGAAAAAGCTCAACTCTTTACTCCAGGTTTTCACTTCAGAATAAATCGGCTACTGAAACAAATCGAAGATTATAGCACAAATCAAAGATCATAGCACATATAGAACCAATTGACCGGCCGAATATTCGCATACCTTAAGCTTAAGGGCAGTGTAGGGAAGCATCAGCTTCCTCAAATCAGCTTGAAGTTGCCTCAGAGGACCAGGCAACTTGCATCTGGAAAACACAAGCTCCTTGGGATTTTGTCCCCAGTGACATGGTCCACATTAGCCTGCTTCTTCGACGAAACCGGTTTCACAAACACCTTCTTCTTCTGTTTTCAAATTTTCAAAACACAACAATCAACTACGTTTCCGAGAAAATTAAATTAACGCCAACAACAAAAGAACTTTTGATTCAATTTTCTCGCCAACCAAACAGAACCCGGAAATTTCAAGCTTACATTTTTGAAGCGAGCCATGTATTCCAAAAATATTGAGTTTCTGTGCTTGCAATTTCAGCTTCGTGATTAATACTGCAAAAAAAAAAAATTTGCACTCAATTAGCATACAGATAGATTGAATTTATGCTAGGGAATCGTCAGATAATTAAAAAAATAAAGATTAATTAAAGTTAAACAAAATTACCTTTGGGCGTTTAGGGTTTTGGGGGAGCTCTCTGTGTGAGGTTTTTAGACGGAGGAAGGTGATGACTGAGGAGAAACAGCGAAGAAGAGAACGCGCGAGGCAAATTAGGTTGTTTATTAGGCGCATCTGGACCGTTGAATCGTACTAAGGAAATGAAGAAGGGACGACGTCGTTTGGGCAACTGATTGTTGGGTTTATTTTATGGTGCTCTTTGCCCGAGTCCGGTTGGCTTTGGGCTTGGTTCGGCTGGTTCAGCCTCCTATGTGGGCAACCCAAGTTTGGTCCAATCAAAAGTAATGCGGTTTGTTTTTGGAAAATACTTGAGTTCTGACTAGTCAATTCTTATTCTATCATTGGTCTTAAATCACTATGATTGGCCTAAGAATAATTAAATGTGTGTCCTTCGTTTTCATTTTTTTTGGAAAAATTAGTATCCGGTCCCTAGTTTTTACTGTTTATTGACTAAGACCTTATTAGTTCTCAAATTTTGATTCAAGTCCCTATCATTAATGTGATAATGAATTTACATGTTTATTATATAATTTTTAATATAAAAATTAGTAATTAATTTAGGGTTTAATACTCACACCTCTATTAAACTTCTAATTAATTTTCAATTCAAACATTTCCAAAATAATAAAAAATTAAATTAAATTAAGTTTGTACCTATTAGTTTTTTTTTTATATATATAAAAAGATTCTCAATTTTTTTTAATATTAAATGTACCCATTCATATAATTTTTCAATTTTTTTAATCTTAAATGTACCCATTCTCAAATATATCAATTTGTTATATGTAAAATGTACCCTTTTTTTAATATAAAATCCATTCAAATTTTTTAATCCATGTTTAAACTTATATGGGTACATTCTTTTTCGTTGATTTGAGAATGTATCCATGTTTTGGTACAATAACTTTTTTTGTTAACTTTGGTTAATGTACCCATACATATATGTACACACACACACAATATAATAGAGAGTATAATATATATTTTATTATTTTAATCCCATAAATTATGGGTTTTATTTAAAATCTTATTAATATAAACAATTACAAATTTCAATTTTTAATTTTTAATTTAAAAATATAGTAACTTACATTATTACATTAATGTTAGGGACCTCAATCAAAAACTAAAAACTAACAAGGTTTCAATCAAAGAATATTGATAGCTAGGGACCGCATCCAAAGTGTCCCTTTTTTTTTTGGGTGATACAACGATCTTTACAGTAATGGGCAAGGGAAAAAATTTGTTACAAACTCGTTATTCATAAAATTCAAACTCAAGACAATTCACTGACAAGTAATAGGAATATCACTACACTATAATACTAAGTGACTTAATTTTGATATCATTACATATAAAATCGATGTGGCATAATATGACATCGTGTTGTTGCCCAAGCTTGGTCCAATCAAAAGTGTTGTGATTTGTCCCTGTAACGAAACGATATACATTTAAATATAGTGATAACAGACTTATAACATGAGTGCATTAGTAACATAGCATAGTAATTCGATAGTTCAACCCAAAATTACTCAACCATATAAGATGGGAAAAGATAGTTTATGCTAGTTGCCAATATGAGAAACTACATAAAAAAGAGATGTTCGTGACAGAAAAAAGGTACAAAACATTTTTCATGAAAGATCCAAAATTAATTTATTCACGAGAAATGTCAGTAATCTTATATATATTGGCGTGAACTGGACAGAAAAGGATATGTGCCCTGCAGCCCCTTCACATGTTTTTCACCATTTTTCAACCTAAAATTTCGGCTCATCAGTCATATCCCTCTCTTTCCAGCTTCATCTTTTGTATCACTCACCAGCCTCTCGCCTATGAAAAAAAGTTCCCACCCTCTAGGACCCTTTAATAAGCTTATTAACCCTCTCAAATTTCATCCTTCTCCGATTTAACGCTCTTCCGTTCTTCATCATACCTTATCTGAGGTGACCGAGGAATCGTGTCATTCGAGCCTTTTGTTACATGTTTTTCCTAGATTTCCAGAGAAATCTGCAATCAATAGGATTTTATTCCTAGTACTCTCTTTTGAAAAGAAAAGCATTGAAAATTCTTTTTCCTTTCCGCAATGAAAATGGCATCTTGTAGCAGTTATATTTTTGTGTCACTCATTTTTCATGCAATATGGCTGATTTGTTCAACCCAATTATTGGTATCTGGAAAGGGGGACAAAACTTATGTCCAAGAGGCCTGCAGTAATTATGTCCAAGAGGCCTGCAGTGTGACCAGGTATCGGGATGTTTGCATCCACTCGCTCTCACCGTTTTCGAGCTCAGCCAAGAACAGCCCGAGCAGGTGGGCCCGAGCCGGGGTTTCAGTTTCATTGAGCGAGGCCAAGAGTGCCACTCGGTACTTGGTAATGTTGCCTTCTATCATAAACGATCTCTGTGGTATTAGTAGTAGAACAATTCACCTATATTTTTGTATTTTATTTTGTCGAGTTTCCGACATGTAGATTTGTTGCATTCTTCAACAGGTAACTCTGAAAACGCACGGGGGTGGTTTGAAGGGGAGAAACGAAGTTGCTTTGTCCGACTGCATTGAGTGCTTTCAGAACGCGATCGACGAGCTTCACAAATCGCTCGATGTTCTGAGGACGCTGACTAAGATGACATTCGACACGAAAATGGCGGACCTGAATACCTGGCTCAGTGCTGCCCTAACCAATGGAGACACGTGCTTGGATGGCTTTGAGGGCCAGAATGGAAAACCAGTCAAATTGCTACAAGACAGGGTTTTGAAAGTTACCTATATCACCAGTAATGCACTGGCTCTTGTTAACAAACTTGCGACTACTGGCTTGGGAAGCCTTCCTAATTTGTAGGAAGAGAAGATTAATGATTGTATATGTTGTGTTTAATTAACATGTGATTGGGTGATGGGCATGGGCGGATTCATAGAGGGGCTGGGGTGGTCTCGGGACCATGCATGGTCTGGGAAAAACGCCTATGGAGGTCCTTCTAGGACCCTCCAAATGTTTGGTAAGGGAGGACCGTTATATTCCTAGGGTTCTACAGTGTAAGCAGTTTTATTTTTTATTGTTAAACGCCATATAGTTATAAGCTTATAGTCTAAGCAATTTCATTCAAGGAGGGTGAATGAGGTGTAGGCTTGCAGCAGACTTCTCATGAGGAAGAAGACCCATATAAAACCCTCTCTATTCCTTTGAACGTCCTCTTTCTTGCTTTTTCATATTAATTTTTAATGAAACGATACAATTTTTTTTAGGGAACAGATATAAAAAAACTATTAATGAGTCATAAAATGAGGGAACGTATTTTTTTATATACATAAATGACCTTACTAGAAAAAGGCTTACAATTTAGACTTTGTAAATAGTAATATTATTTTTGAACCTTTTACGTTAGGACTCCCGACCTAAAATTTTGAATCCGCCAAGTTTAAGGGTTTTTCACAATATGACTATATATTATAAGGTAAACATGTGATTGCACATTGTCTGTAACGAACAACACGAGGTCTGAGGTCACTAGCAAATTCAATTAAACAAATTGCGTTTGGTAATAACAGGATGGTTTCATATTTACAATAGTACACTTGTATACATATTCATGAGTCACGACTTGGTGTACAAGTAACATAATAAGCTTTTACAAGAAACCCAAGCCCACATGACGTACAACTAAACCTAGCCAATACGTAAAAGAACCCTAAGGCCATCTCCAACCGAAGGGTCCAGAGGGCCAGAGGGCCGAAAATAGCCCTAAAACCGTCTCCAACCGAGGGCTAGGCCAGAGGGCTCTGGAATCTGGGAGGGCCCCACGGGATCAGAGAGGGCTGGAGGGCTGGAGGGCTAGCTTATTTTTTTTTTTAATGTTTTCTATTGCTGTCGGTTAAAACCGACAGCATTAAAGAGGTTTTTTTTATTTTTAATAGTTCTACTATTAGTGTCGGTTATAACCGACACTAATAGTTTGAATGTTTTGAATATAACGGCTAGTAGCCGTTGTATTATTAGGCTTTTTTTTTTTTAATGAATTTAAACTTTTTTTTTTTCCCTTTTTTTTTTCCTTTTCATATTAATCAAATTTTGTTTCATATTTTTTTTCAATTCTATTTTACAAAATTTGTTTCAATTTTTTTTAAATTCTATTTTTTTCCTATAACTTCTATTTTACAAAATTTGATTCATATTTTTTTTCCTATAACTTCTATTTCACAAAATTTGTTTCATAATTTTTTTCAATTCTATTTTTTTCCTAGGCCATTTATACAACATTAAATTAAATTAAGTAACATGAAACAACATTAAACAATATGAAATAACATTAAATAACATTAACCAACATACAAATTATACAACATAAAAAAAACATTTAACAACATGAAACTTAAACAACATTTTTAAAAAAACATTTAACAACATAAAACTTAAAAGCCTACTCCATGCTTCTTTTGGCCCAAAGATGTGCAACAAGATCCTGTTGTAGGTACGTATTTGTGGCACGAGAACGTATCATTCTATAGCGCCTCATATACTCATTTATAGAGATACTACCAGTTCTTGGATTGAAAGGCAAATTAGGCCCATCATATATTTTTTGCTAGAGCCCTTCTTGACCTATTTGGATCTTCTTGGTCATCATCGGACTCTCCATCAATATACCCATCTCGCTCATCCTCCCACTATCATATTGTGTAATATGATGCAAGACATCATGATGGAGTTCAAATTTTCTCGACTCCACCCTCTTGCCGGTTCGCTAATAATCTTCCACCGTGCTTGTAGAATACCGAAAGCTCTCTCAACATCTTTCCGGTATGCCTCTTGGTGTAAGGTAAACAACTTTTCTGCATCATTCCTAGGGTTTGGAATTGCTTGGACAAGTGTCGCCCACTTTGGGTAGATGTCATCTGCCAAGTAATACCCCATATTGTATTCACGGCCGTTGATGTAGTAGTCAAGTTGAGGTGCTTTACCTTCCGTCAAGTTATTGAAGAGGGGTGAATGCCCAAGAACTGTAATGTCATTTTGGGATCCAGGGACTCCAAAGAAAGCATGCCAGATCCATGTGTCATATGAGGCAACTGCCTCTAACACAACAGTTGGCTTTCTCGACCTTCCACTAAAGCTTCTTTGCCATCCAGTGGGACAGTTCTTCCAATCCCAATGCATGCAGTCTAATGACCCTATCATGCCCGGAAACCCACGGTCTTCAGCTTTGTGAAGGAGCCGATTCAGATCTTCTTGATTTGGCTCTCGGAGGTACTCGTCTTTGTAAACATGAACAATTGTGTTACAAAATTCTTCAAGAGCATCAAGGCATGTAGACTCAGACATACCATGGGTTTCATCCTCGAATCAGCTGAGGAGCCATATGCCATCATTCGGAGTGCAACAGTAACCTTCTGATGAGGTGAGAAACCATGGCGCCCTGCTCTGTCCTGCTTCTGTCGAAAGTATGGATTGACCTGCTGGACATCACGAAGTAAACGCTCGAAGACATGACGCCTCATCCGGAAGCGACGTCTGAAATCCTCTTCTGTGTACACCGAGTCGGGGTTGAAGTAGTTGTTCATCAGATTGGCATGCGCCATCGCTCTGTTTCGTGGTTTGTAAGAGCGACCAGCAACAGAGCCACCCCATTGAGGTTGTTCCTCAGTTGGCTGACACACCATGGCCGCAGCCATGGCTGCTGCCATGTTTTGTGTGTTGCACCTTACTTGAGCTTCTTCATCAGACTCCTCATCTTCTCGTCTCATTTGCGCCCATTTTGCTTCCAATTTGGAATTGGATGAGGACCCCCAATTGGAATTGGATGAAGATCCAAAGTTGGAATTCATTGCAAACTTGAATTGAAAGAGATTGAATTGCAAGAGATTGAATTGAAATAGATTGAATTTAAAGTTGTGTGAATTATAGCCCAATATCCACCCTATTTATAGCAAAAAAAATTCAAATCCAACGGCTAGCTGACGTCAGCATGATGTCAGCTACCAACGGCTAGCTGACATCATGTTGACGTCACCTAGCCGTTAGATTTGAATTTAAATTGTAGTTTTTAAATAATAAATTATGTTTGGCCCTATGGCCCTTTGGCCCTCGGTTGGAGACGGTTTTTTGTGACAGGGCTAAAACGAGCCATTTGGCCTTCTGGCCCTCGGTTGGAGACGGAGGCAAATATGGCCCTGTACTGTTCATTAAAATATTAATATCTTGGGAAATCTTGGAGGGCCAGAGGGCTCAAACGAGCCCTCTGGCCAGCCCTCGGTTGGAGATAGCCTAACAGTTCAACTTAACCACCTAAATCTAACATATACTCGATACCGTGGCAATGTAGGAAGCCATCGTCTTGGATTTTTGGGAATGATGAAATTGGGGTTCCACCATAAAATCAATTGGCAATATGGGGAGTAGCCCAAGACCATATAAGCACATAGCAAACATTTTCCCTCACCGATGTGGGACTACTCTCAACAAGGAACAATCACAAGTTCAGCCGGCCTATATTTAAACGAGAATGTCATGCCACCCAACATTGAGCTATAGAGTTTTTATCTCAAAAGGTCTCGATGCAATCAGTAATTACCTCCATGACTTTTAAAGACTGATCAACAACCTTGATAAACACTCATGATAAACTACAATTTAACCATAGTTGACGCAGGAGGTGGAGCTGGGATCAACAACCATGCACACCTGTGGTTGCAAAAGAGAGCCATAATGAATTCGACCAGTTTGATGTTTGTTGTTGCAGGTATTTATTTTCTTCTTCATGTTTGCAGTGGTTGGTAGGATTCAGCGTCGTTACTCGTTATGTCACCACTTGTAATCCTGTTTTTTTAAATTAGCAAGCAATTATTGAAGTCGTTGCCATTATTAATACGTAACATGGAGGCCTGAGCGACAAATGAAGACTGGACTTGGTAATAGTACAAAGATTTCTCAGCCTCAATCGGTTCTCAAATTTGGTTCTTCATGACATTATTGGAGCTTGGTTTAAACTGACTTGTCTTGTACATATTAAGGGTTCTTCTAGTAACTACTTTGTTTTTCGATTTAATTTTTAGTGCTAGTGATTGAGAAGAAAGGGATAAAGAATGATGACGATGAGAGATTCTTAAGTGTCCTGAAAACACGGTCTGGTATATCAAGTATCATAATATAAGTGGTTAGATACTTAAAAAGAAATTTATAACCATTTGTATTATGACATCTGGTGTACCGGACACTAAAAAAATTTATCGATGATGAGGGAGGAGGGAGACATATCAAAACTAAAACATCAATGCAAAAACAAGTTAAAAATAATAAAAATTATAAACGAAACAATTATCAAACATTCTAAAATTAATTTTGGTTATCTTGAACAACATATTATCTTCATTCTTTTATCATATATAATGGCAATGTCGTACGGCAAACTCCATGTACGTGAGACATTTTCTCATCCAACAAAGATCTAGTCTTAATGGCTTCACCGTCTAACATTTATACGACATAAAAAATCTCTACATACATGTGATCAACTGTGAGACTAGTTAATTTTGGATCAATACCATACAACTTTAACTTCTTAAAACTTATTCCACATCTTGAAATTGTGGACATTAAATTTGAAAGTCTGTCTAAACCCCATTTAAACAGACTTTAATTTGGATATTTTTACTTAAAAGTATTGGAAGTCATTTTCCTTACAGAAAATTGACAGCATGTTATCGACCACAGTGCTTGGAGCGTTTGGACGGCCGTAATGTCGTTTAGGTAGATACCAGCAGACACATACGTAATGAATAGTCTGGTCACGTACAGTTCATCTTTTATGTTTTTGAATAGCCTTGATGGGTCAATTTATTTGCAGAAATCTATATGTCAAACAAATAGGACGGTCTATTTTTATGCATTGGACCGTTTTACATTTAACCTAAAAACTATTAATTTCTTCCGGTCGAATATAAATTGAGCTTCGAATTTTAAGTACAAATGACTACTCAATTTAAAAAAATAAAAAATTAAATTGGTTTAATCTTTCAAAATTGTTCTCTAACGTCATTAGTGTTAAATAATGATATAACTAATGTCAGGTGATGGCATTGCCATTGTTAAGTGATGATTTGAACAAAATTCTGAGGGATGTTTTTGTGATTTCACTAATATACGACCATCAATGAACTTTAAATTCTCAAATGGACCCTTTTAGGCAAGTGA